CTGTGGCTACCACAGTATTTTACATTGGTTCGTCCTTATACAGTAGCGCCAAATGAAAGCTGTGGTGGGTTCAAAACTCAGCCATCTAAAATGATCCATTGTTTGTTTTGTTGTATCATGGAAAACACATCTAGCTGCTGGACATCACGACTAACATTTGAAAATGGTATAAAATGTTCAGAATTATTATTACTATTACGACTGGACTTAGGAAAAAAGTTATTATGTGTAAATTTATTGAAAATAAGACGCAAAACTCAAATAAATTATTATTTTACTAAAAAAATGCAATTTCATAAACAAAAAAAACTAAAACAAATAGATTTTTTTAATCAAGTTACCAGCTTAAACTCTTCACCAAATTTTATAACATTTCTTCAGTTTTCTTGATAAAAAATATAAAGATTGAAAGGGATTTGTTTTGACGTTGATTATCGTTTAACGTTTTTGTTTTTAAAGATAATTTAACTACCTGCAACTTCTTTTCATGTAATTTTTTTGAAGAAAAAAATATAATCAATTTTTTAATACGCCCTTTCAAAAATTCCTATTTAAATGAAAAATGCAATCATTGGTAGCAGCAAACATATGAGTAATGTTTCATTCAAATCGGAAACACTCATGTCCAACCAGTTTGCGTTTTGGGCTGGAAATTCTGATCATAAACACGTTGTTAAATGCGTGTGGTAATTATCGGTAATGATAATTTGTAATATTTGTTGTTAAGATAATTCGACAAAATCACTGATGTAACGATTTACTACAGTCACTAATTTGTTTTATCGCTAGAAGTAATTTGAAGTTGATGCAGATGTACTCTGTTGCCAAGTGAAAGGGAAAGAAATCTTTCAAAAATCGTTATGCGAGTTCCACTGTTTTTTTTTCTCTTGACGTGACTCTTATATACAAACTCTAATCTGGGGGTGGTGTGTTTTAAAAAAAATGACATAGAATTTACCCCACATAAATTTGGGCCAGTCTAATTATTACAAGGCTATCTTGATGAAATTTTTCTTGTCGATATTTCGCCATCAACATTTCAATAGGGTAAAACTGCACATATAAACAATGACCCACCGACTTCTCACAAAAAATCTCATAAATCAACACAGATAAAAATTTTGAATTTTAATAGTGATGTAAACATTCATTCATGTAAACTTGTATTTCATTTCACGCAACCGATCAATGTTGTTTACAATAATGGGCTTTTGTATACAATATTTGCTACATTGCATGAAATGTCTCAGAACTTTACATGATATATAATGTAAAATTATATGATATGTGACGCTCCATTTATGTGCATTATACTGAACAGAAATTTACACTACTTTTTCGAACTCTGAAGAATACCATTGGGTAGAGAAATGTTTATCCTACCGCAGTTTATATAATTTGTTGGCGATGGCAAGCTTTTATTCGCCAAAAATCGGTGGCGCATATGTTGATGCTGAATTATCAGTATATGTTACAATGCCTGCAGTGCGAGTCAGACATAATGACTTGTTCAGACTTGTATGCTTATAACATGTTATAAGGTCCGTATCCGGAAAAAAAACGAGACATAATATAAACTGCAGACCAGCTTATACAGCTAATTTTTGCCTGTATAAACTAGTCTGCGGCAAAAAAAATATTTAGGGGATAGGCATAGAAAATAAAATGTTTGACTCGAAATTCAGCCATTTTGAATCGCCATTTTTGGTGTATTTGAAATTTCTCAATAAATCGCAGCATCCAAAAGTCTTTTCTAATGGAAATAAAGTCTTTCTTGAAAAAAAACATACACGGTATTTTTTTCGTAATGTTAAGTAAAAATATAAATAGCTTAGAATGTCCTTGTTCAATACATATATATTTTTCTTATATAAAAATACTTATGAAAGAACAAACTTTTGAAATATTGAAAAGCTTGGGCACTCAAAAATGTACAAACAATCGTTGAACAAAAGATTTTGGTAAATTTTTAGACATTTAGGTTTTAAACACTTTTTTGGAATGTTTACTCAAAATTACTAAAAAACATTCCGAGTATATTTTTCCTACTAGGTCTTTATTTTTCTCCATGATTAGAAAAGACATACAACCATTTTGAAAAAAAATACAATATCCAACATGGTCGATCTTTTGCACAAATATGAATGGTTTCCCATAACAAACAATTATGCGAAGTATCATGCAAATTGAAGAAGGTCGAGTCTGATCGATTCGTCATTTAACGTGTAAATTCTTTTTTCGCTAATTAGTGTAACAAGTAGACATTTTTGGAGGAAAACTTCAAAATTCAAGTTGATTTCACGCTTATGTCTTTGCTAAAATATTTTAAGTTGCACATCTACCTCCAATTGCTATGGATTTTAATGCATTAAACCCATGATACTGTAGCTCACTACAATGATTTTGCTCGCCGCAGTTTAAAGTAAACAGTTTTAGTTACTGTCAAATGTTTCTTACGGGTCAGATGTGTATTTTAGCCACTGCAGTCGTTTTTACAGTAGATAAACGATCATTAAAATGTATTTGACACAAATGTTATCATATTTTTGGCAATAGCCAATGTTTGGATCAGATCTCTGATCGAAAAATCTAGATTTTTATTATAACTGTACAAAAGAATTTTGAGTGACCCTTCTTATTTCTTAATCATATTGAGCAGTAGTCATTAAATTTTAATGACTACTGCTCAATATTTTTTATTTTTTTTTTTCCTTTGGTTTGTTTTTCCCGTCGATCTTGTTTTCCGTGCTGAGCACCAATGCTACCGACGTGCCAGGAAGGCAGCTCCCACACCTGGACCCTACCTATCGACCCATCAACTCATGAACCGGGGACCAACGGCTTTACTTCCCATCCGAAGGAAGGCGTGATCAGAGATGTTATGCCTCAAGAACATTCTGGCGGCGCTGACTGGGATTGAACCCAGACCTACTGGGGTTAGAGCTAATCACGCTTACCACTACACCACCGGCGCCGTTACTGCTCAATATGATTAAGAAATAAGAAGGGTCACTCAAAATTCTTTTGTACAGTTATAATAAGAATCTAGATTTTTCGATCAGAGATCTGATCCAAACATTGGCTATTGCCAAAAATATGACAACATTTGTGTCAAATACATTTTAATGATCGTTTATCTACTGTAAAAACGACTGCAGTGGCTAAAATACACATCTGACCCGTAAGAAACACTTGACAGTAACTAAAACTGTTTACTTCAAACTGCGGCGAGCAAAATCATTGTAGTGAGTTACAGTATCATGGGTTTAATGCATTAAAATCCATAGCAATTGGAGGTAGATGTGCAACTTAAAATATTTTAGCAAAGACATAAGCGTGAAATCAACTTGAAATTTGAAATTTTCCTCCAAAATAGCACAAAATTAAAATAGTCGCTAATATTTGTTGAGTGTTTTCCGAATAATATATACTTTATTTGTGTGAAGCATATCCTTTTTCAAAGCTAATAGGAGGTTTAAAAGGTTTCTTAAACTTTGAATAAAGTGTCAAAAAGTAGAAAGGAAGGTATACAAAACCTCACGGGTGGGGATTTATCTGAAGTGCTTGTATTTTACATCAAAAGCCAACATTACTAAATTTAATGTGTTTTTGATCAGTCGGTTTGCATTTAATTAAAAGAATAATTGTTCTTTGGTATGACCTTTCTAGTGTCCTGGTTTTTCCAGGAAAGTAGGGGAAAGTGGCACAATATGGCTGGCCACCCGCTTGAAAACCAACTTATTGAACACATTTTACAAACAATCTGTTGTAGGCTTGATGCTTGAAGCCTACTTCAACTCTCAATTTCATTTTCTCTAGAGCAAATATTCGAAAAATGTTAGACTAACTCAAAATGTCAAAACTGTTATAAGATTTCTGAATCAGAAAACAAGGTCTATCAGTAGTTTCTTGTTACTTATCGTTGATATTCCTTCAGCAGCTTTATTAATAGTCATTGGATTCTTATATGACACGATGTTTTTTTCTAGATTTCAATAAACATTAAAAAATTAAACAAAATATTACTTAAGTTCATTCGGAGCAATATGAGCACCACTGATATTTCAACTTGAATTCTTAATTTTTCAATATTCCTTTCATAAATATGACTGTATCATATGAAATCAGGTTTTGAAACAACTGCTTTGGTAAAAAATCAGTCATTCACAAGACTGAAAAGAATGTAGTCTTAAATAGGCAGTACTTCTGAAATTTAATTTATTCTACAGAAAAAAAAATGTTTCTGTTAAATATTTCTGTGCTAAAACTGTTCATTGTTGACCCTTCATAATGCTTCAAGAAAACATAATATGCTTACGCGTTGTTTACAAGGTCGATCATATCACTCCGACAGAGTACTCATTTTACCCCAATGGTTTAATTTTGGTTACAAAAACATTTTTAACTCTTCTTGCATAAGATTAAAAAGTTTACTTATAATATTCAATTTGTTTTCATGATGTAAATAGGACTTGAACTATCAATTTGGTTAAACATCATTCAAATTTTCCACTGAATTTTGAATTCCTTTATTTGACGTCGGTCTCTGTTCCACAATCTAGTGCCAATCACCGACGGACATCGATTGCCATCCATTGACGGCAATCGAATGTGCAGGAAGGCAGCTTCCACACCTGCGTATGATATCGCACCCATTCAAACACACATACGCCGAGACCGACTGCTTTACTTCCCTTCCAAACAAAGACGTGCCCAGAGATTTTTATGCCTCAGAAAAATCTCACCGACCTCGCCTGGGATTGAACCCAGACCCATTGGGGTGACAAATCAGTCACTACTCCACCGGCGCTGGCTTGAATTTTGTATGATTAGTGATGATTTTCTTAAGGTGGCCAAACTGCCTCACTTTCCCCTATGTAATAAAGACCGTCTTATAACATAGTAAAACATAGAAACATAGTATTACAAAATATGTATGCACTTTTACATCCCATAGTATTTAGACACTACAAATGTTTTCTGCTTTCCTTCATTTCCAGGTTCTTTCTGCAAAACTTATATAACGTCAACGGTTGCTGCGCTCCAACAAACAATACACATAAAATGGTGGACACACAGCACTTTTGCTTGCGATGGAATAATTATCAAAGCAGCATTACTTCTGCTTTCGAAAATTTGCGAGACGACGAAGACTTTGTCGATGTGACACTTGCATGCGATGGACGAAGTCTCAAGGCGCATCGGGTCGTCCTGTCGGCCTGCAGTCCCTATTTCAGGGAACTGTTAAAGGTATGTATACGCCCAAAGCAAAACGAAATCGCTGAGATTCTAAATCTTTGGAATGCACTTCATGACAAGATTCTTAATTGCTAAAAGATGAAAATGGCTGCATTGGTAGGTATAATTTAGGAAAAGACTATACGGCTATCAAGAGAAGGCAAGCCTGCCAAAACGTGCATGTAATTTGCCGAAAAAGCCACGTCTTAGCCTTGTGATATTTGAATTCAGTTTCACCACCAAAATGTCCAAAACACATCTATACCGCTGCTGTGAAAGGGCACTCGCTCTCCAAAACGTGTAACGCAACAGTGGAACAGCAGTACACCGGTATTGGTGTTATTTAAAGGCATCTGTACATTTTTTTGTTTCATCTATACTCTTGCTGCACGTTATGTGCAACTGCAGCCAAAGACCGAAAAAGTTGACTTGAAAGTAGGACATGCTGTAAACTGCAATCAAACCAATAAGCAAAAAAAACAATAATTTGAGAAAGTGTCCTTCAAAGTGCTTAAAAATAAGATTCCACGTTATTCAACCGAACTGCAGCTACAGCAGCGCAATGCAATGCAATTTGGCGCTGCAGACAGACATCATCAACATCATCATCATCGTCGTCGTGGTCGTCGCTGTTGACGTCGTCAAACTGCATGGAGGGAGAAAGATTTCGTCGAAATATTTACTCATTGCGTTGTTGCATCTATATATGCACTTCCAAATGCACATTTTTTCTGTTGCAACAACGGACATCTCATCTCGATCCATGGGAAGAAAAGGAAAGTTTGCCTAATTATTTGGCCGAGCGAGACGGGTACTTTGCGGATGCCATTAGCGCCTTTGTTTGCTCTCGAAATTTGAAATTCCGTTATACCCACCTATTCAGGTCAGCACAAAGTCACGTGAGATTTGTGAATTGTATTGAATTTGATCTAAAAAGAAATAGCCAGCGTGATGTGACCTATACCTGCAGCAAACAGGTCATTTTACCAATTAAATTTAGAATCCCGGCGTTAATTTTAAGACACATTAGTTATACCACGGTGGTAGACCCTAGATTGACTTTACTTACTATAATGACCCTTTTTGATCGTTTTCAGAAATTACTCTTTCAATTTTAAATGTTATTTTTTACGGGAGAAAAGTGTCTGTAATGTAATCATGAGAATATTGGAAAACGACTGAAGAAAAATCCTCAAATAGGGTCAATATAGTAACGCTAGGCCAATATCGGGTCCGTCACGCGACTTGCTAGCATGTTTTACGTTTTTTACTTTAACCCCACGTTTTTTTTTACTTTAACCGCTTACAGAGTACACCATGTAAGCATCCAGTAATAGTACTGCAGGATGTGGCATTCACAGATCTCCATGCGCTCGTGGAGTTCATATACCACGGCGAAGTGAATGTACATCAGCGATCTCTTAGCTCCTTCCTTAAAACGGCAGAAGTGTTGAGAGTATCAGGACTGACCCAGCAGCAAGCTGATGAAACACACAATGTAAGTAGGATCTACAGTTACCATTTTTTTTTTTAATTCTGCAAGCATGTGTCGTCGTAATAAAATATCGCCGATTCGTCCAGATATAATTTGTAACACATATTATTAAACATCGCATTTAGTTTCATGATAACTGTTGGAAGACAAACATAAAAATAGTAAGCAATCATTTGAAGTTACACACTAAGAAATAACTAATTTTACACGTGACGGAATCCATCTTTGACATAAAGATTCAGACGTAAACAATTATTTCATGTAAAATTAAGTGCTACTAGACTTAAAAGTTCGTTACTGGACGAAAACTAGGTTTGATTGAGTTGAATTGCGCGTCTGTTATGACTTAATTTTATGTCAAAATTGACGCTCGTATATGTCAGTCTCACAGCACCTAAATTTACATGATTTTTTCCAAGTGTGTACTTATAATAGCGTAGAAAAGTTTTGAAAATGAGAAAACCTTCCGTAGTCTCTCTTAGTAAATAGACCAAATGCCGGATATTGGGTTTGATTTACCTATTAGGTAAAACTATTTAGAATTTATTCAACACTTTTTTCAGATACCAATCTCATATAATTTTCTACATTACACTTTAATGCCATTTTCTAATAATGTTCTTCAACTCATCTCCAAAATTACTCTGAAAGTCTCCTCAGAACTTGATTCGTTTGGAAATCTTACCAGAATTTTCCAAGAATTCCCATGAAATTGTCCTTGAATCTCTTCTAATAATCCTTTTTAGGTTATTCACAGAATTCTATTCGCTTGGAATTATCCTCGGAATTTCCATGAATCTCTCCTCTAAATTTCCTTGGTATACTCTTCAGTATTACTTTTAAGTTATGATCAGAAGTATATGTAAACTCTCTTCAAAATTACCTTTGAATTCTCCTTAAAATTAACTTCGAATTTTCCTTATAATTCCCATATATTATGTAATACCTCTCCTCAGAATCCCCTTTGAAATTCAAGCCAGTAAGTGGTAGACTCAGATTTCCCATGATGTCAAAAAAAAATTCAATACATCTAATTATTCATCGAGATCGACTGTGCCACATGCCGCGGATACACTTGGATTACAAACTAATGTATAATAAATTAAGAGCACATCCATGTATAGTTTGTGTATAGTTGTATTTTTTTTTTTCCTTTGGTTTGTTTTTTCCGTCGATCTTGTTTTCCGTGCTGAGCACCAATGCTACCGACGTGCCAGGAAGGCAGCTCCCACACCTGGACCCTACCTATCGACCCATCAACTCATGAACCGGGGACCAACGGCTTTACTTCCCATCCGAAGGAAGGCGTGATCAGAGATGTTATGCCTCAGAACATCCCGGCGGCGCCGACTGGGATTGAACCCAGGCCTTCTGGGGTGAGAGGTAATCACGCTTACCACTAGACCACCGGCGCCGTTTGTGTATAGTTGTAATTATTATACAAATAATGTTCATGCTCATAGTAGGCCATACAAGTGTATCCGTGGCATTAATGTCACTTCCCCGATTGCCATCGCCAAGAATCAGTTCAATACAACCTTCGAACCAAAATAATTTATTTGTACAGGCTCAATCGAATAAACTTTACAGAGCCAAATTAACATTTGTGTTATACATTATTAATATCTTAAATCTAAAGTTAAACGAATTGAACCGAGTATTCGCGGTCGTCTCACATAAACCTGCGTCACTCACATATTTTTTCGTCAATGACTCGGGGATAGGTAGCTAGGGTTATCAGTTAAAAAATTGAAAAGGAGTACGTTTCATTTCAATTTTAGAGAAAAAGGAGAACAATGTCTATATGTTTTATCGTCAATGGAGGACAACGAGTTTTCATCATGTAAAATGTCAATAAAAGAAAATCACACGTTTTAAAAAGTTATGTACTTACGCAAAATTTAAAACTATGGTTGTAGTGCAGTCATCAATTCGATTATAATCATCATTCACTCTATGTGTGCTTTTAAGGTAAAAGAGGTCGTCATTAATTTTTGGAAATTCAAGAACAGTTTTTGTTTTCATTTAAAACTGAAATGATGTCAATGAAAATATGTTTCCTGTGTTCCAGTAGGCAAGTATATTGTAATAAACACACTTTCATGAACGTAATTTTAGTTTTGATCGAAAATACTGGTTTTGATTTTTTGAAAATTAATGACGTTCCCTTTTGGTAATTGCTAGTTTGCTTATTGGGTTACGTCCAATTAGAAAGCAGTAGTCTGGTAAAAAAAATATTTTTATTTTGAGCTTCATAAGTTGCTTGAACTTCGAATAATTTTAGAAAAACGTTACCTATTTGACTGCCATTTTTTAAATTGATAGTTCTCGAAGCACAATAAACTACACATGTATTTTTTTTTTTACTCGAAACATTATTTTATTCTAAAACATCAGAATTGATGGCCAACGAATAGTATAATTTCTGTATCCATGATCGTGACTTCCATTTATCAAAATTGCTTAAAATACACTACACTATGGGTAGTAACAGTTAAGGATTGTCCTGGCCACGTCCTTACAACTGGTAGGGATAGGAAAGGTATGTTAGTCCAACATTTACTTAAGAGACCTGCAGAGAACTCTACGACCCCTCATAAATGTCTCGGGAATTAAGGAATTATTTTAGTAGGAAGGTAATCCCTAAGATACACCCAGTCAGTGTTGCTGGCAAATGTAGATTTTTTATAAATGTTGAAATTGCTGCCTAGAGCGTCTGTTGGAAGATAAGGTTGCTGAAAAAAACGAAGATATGGTGAAGTCACCATCGTTGTCACACCCCTAGCTAATTAAAAGGAAGGAATTATGTTGTGTTTTATCATTTTTTTATTGATAGAGGGGAAAACCCGCAGGAGTGAACATAATTTTACTACCTCTTTTCCCGTAGGCCCAAAACCCCTCAATTTGAATCATAATCAATTACAAATTTCAACAATAAATCATTATTCAAATGGAAGCAATAAATTTAACAGATTCAAGATAAGGCTAAACCGCTGAGATCGACAGCAATCTGAATCTAATCTAATCTAATCTAACACAAACGCAGCCAGTACGAGAAAGCATCCTGGAAAATGATTAGGTTAGATAACGCGTTAGGTTACAAGGATGCGTGGATATACCGTACCAAACGCTCCAAGCTATGGAAGAGTGAATTTAACAATCATAATATGTGATGTAATGAATGGTTTATATAATATAGTATAATTGAAGGATCTCGCCGAATGCCTCCAAATGTTTCCAAAATTCCTAATTTATAGATAAAAATGGAATGATCTCACTAATCAGAGAAAACGAGACTGTTGGTCACAAAATGAAAAACCAATGAGGATAAATTACAAAATTTGTCAATTTTTTTTTAGATTCTAGGAAAATATCAAACTTTTTTCCATAGCGGTGAATGAATTCTTGAAAATTTTGAACCAATTATACATTTAATTTGTGACGATAAATAAAAAAGGGCAGTTGATTTGATTGATTGTGCTTCTCGATATTACAATTTTAAAAATGAAAAATTTTAAAAACAAGATGAATTTTACTGATATAACTCAAACTTCATGAAGATTCAACTTATCATCACTCCAAAAACATGAATATTTGATCAAATTTCAGAAATTTAATTGCACATAGGGGAAAAGTTGACTTCGGCAATACCTTAACCTATTATCGTCAGGGGGGTAAACAACGTCCTTGAGACCTCAATTTTGGCATGTGGATACATTGTGTTTCAGAGCAACTATTGGCCAAATTTGAGTGCCCTAGGACTTTGTTTACCCCCTGACGATAATAGGTTAAGGTATTGCCAAAGCCAACATTTCCCCTGCTTCAAAATTACACATTTTGGAACTATTTTGGAAAGACAATGAGCCGTTTAATATGACTTAGAGAGCAGTTTAACCCCCCCCCCCCCTTGTCATCCCTCTGGCTACGCCTATGAGTCCAGTCTTATACTAAACCCTTTCTAATATAACCGGTTCTGTACATACTTGGACATGAACTAGTGAGCTATTTTGTATGAAAACGTCAGTTTAACAACTTCAAAACCATCCAAATTTTTAATGGCATTTGCAATAGGATGAGGTTGTGTCAAAATAAAATGGAATAATATTCAAGGATTAAAAAGAAGGATATTTTGAGGCAAAAAAAGGACATTTAAAAAAATGTTGGATTCCATATGGTGACCCTATCGGTAGCTCAGCTCAGCATGCTTACTGAGCAGAAGGTTGGGAGTTAGATTCCAGGCCCCACCCCCTTCCTTCACAATTGTCACTATGCCTTATTCTATCGCAATAGATTTTAATGAAAAAAAATTTTGCTTTATACGATCGCATTACTTACCACAGTGAATCCTGATTAAAAAAAAACACACTCCTCACTAACACAGCCATCTTATCCGTGACAGCAGTGGAGATGCAGAGGTGCATTATGTCTCTAGTAACAACGGACGTCGGACTAATCATTCTTTCCTCCCCAAAAGTTGTCCTGGGTGCGCCATATGACCACCACTGATCATTGTATTTGGAATCATGAAAAATGAGATGATTTAAGTCGCTTTTGATCATTAGTTGGCCCTACTCACAGATCATATTCCATAGAAATATCTCCGAAATTAGGGGACCAATTTTAAAGATATTTATTAGCGTTCTATGGGACGCCTTACAGAGCATAGTGGTAAAGAATGCAGATTTAGGTGGAAGGATACGTTTCAAGCCTAAAATTGAAATTTTAGACAAAAAGTGTGTCCTACAAAGTTGTTCCTCATAGTTAGGCCCTCATTTTTATGACAATGAATTCGAGGGTGGTTCTTTTTATCATTGAAATCAAAAATTAAACTTTTTTGTTTGAAGGAATTAATGTATACATTCTTTGACAAAGATGAGCTAATTTCAAGCAACTTTGTGAAGAAAAACCTAGGTCCCAGAATTTTAAAAATTATAAATTGAATGAGAATTCATGTAAGACCTATTTTGATTGCTGAGAGGGCGCTCCTTTGGAAAGGTCCTAGAACGCGTTGAATGACGCGGAACATCACAATTGAATGAGGCTTCTTATGAAAAGAGCAAGTAGGGGAAATTGATGTAATGTCGGCCTAAACTACCCTAATTTAGGCCCATACATAAATTCAGCAATCGATTAAATTTTCAATAGCGACCAAAAATATCCATTAGTAGCGTCCCAATGACGCGTTCATCTAGATAAAATTTACAAATAGCAGATTTTTAGCGATAAGCCCAATCTTAGATCCATAGGCCAACATTAGAGCCATTTCCTCTATGTGTGATTTAACAGTATCAAAAATGAATACCGCATTACTTTTCCATAGTAATGAGGTACTAGGACATGCGCTAAACAAAGGATACGGAATCTCACAAAAGATCAATGTATTGGTCGCAGTAATTATGACCCTAAAAAAGGGAAAAAAATATTGATCAGTACTCATTGCAATGAAAAAAAACATTGAAAGCAAATGTAAACTTTGATTTGTACAACGTAATTCCAAAACTAGATCATTGAAGCCCCATTGCATCAGTTTTGGGGTAAACCAACCAGATAGTGAGTACCAATATGCTACGTATCAAAATCAATCTGAGGTAGATGCGTTATATATTGGATTATACCTATGCTGTTTATCTCACCAACAGCGAGACAATCCCGGATGAAAAGAGTGGATGTCGGCCTAAGTGTCCCTAATTTGGACCCATACATAAATTCAGCAATCGACTAAATTTTCAATAGCAACCAAAAATATCCAAAAGTAACGTCCCAATAACGCGTTCATCTAGATAAAATTGATAAATAGCAGACTTTTAGCGAAGGGCCCAAATTAGGGACATGTAGGCCGACATTACCTACATTTCCCCTATATGGTTTTTGACTTATATATAATGCTGTCGCACTTGATGCAGACCTAAGATGAAGAGGAGGCAGTTGGGTTCTTTTTGCCTGTGACGTGTTCTTCTTAACTCGCGGAAACGATCGTGCAAAAACTATTTCATTATGGGCGGCGCCGTCGACTGTCAAATTTCAAAAAAATAGATTGCCTGTTGTAAAAATTCTCGCGTTTCTATACGTTTACCCGACCAATCGGGCGCTGGTTCGTGTTTGACAGAAAAGTGGTTCATAAAAGTCCCTCTATTGTCTCCTCTTCCTCGTAGAGATGCAGGCCTGTGCATCTTAACCTTGGGAACCACCAACTACGTCATTTACTTGAGGTTATATCATTGACATCATCGAACTGGGACGTTTCATCGAAATTCTGGACCGTTCCCACCGACCAGATAGCATTGATTCTCGGAAAACCTGGTCAGGCTCTGACCAGCTTCGTTTTGTGATAAAATGACTCGATCGAAGAGATGACCAATAAAGGTTTTATTTTGGCATCTGAAAAATGTCAATTGTATTCTAACAAAAATTTCGTGTGCCTTCGTAATGTCATGGTGTTTTATTACGCCGGTGGCGGCGTTAGGGGTAATTTTGTTGGACGGTGGTGGAGCGTCACGTAAAAAGCACTTTGATGGTGTATTCAGATCTGAGCGTGCATTAGCGGAGCGGAGCAAAATTTGAGTTGGCATGAGAGAGACAACTAGTACTTTTCTCCCTCAGGATGGAATCCACCTTTAGGCGATGGGGTGGCGGCGATGGCTTAAATCAGCGTAACGTTATTTTTGGCCTTGATAGTGTATACAAATTGTTCAAAAACAGTTCGTATCTGGTTCATCAATAATTTAAAAGAGATTTAATGATAGAAAAGAGTTTCAACTTTCATTCAAGTCAAGTCAGTTGAACGGCAAGGTTTACACAGTCAATTTGCGTTCAAATTAGTTGGATTCAATTGTTTCAATCTAATTGAATTCAAGTCAGTTGAATTCAAGTGAGTTGATCAATTGACTTGCATTATCTATACCCAGCTTTAAGCTGAGTTTAGACTAGGCAAGTCAAATGATCAACTCAGTTGAATTCAACTGACTTGAACGCGAATTGAACGTGTAAACCATGTCATTCAACTGACTTGATCAACTCACTTGAATTGAAAAAAGTTGAACCAGGCCCAACTTTTCAAGCCAATTGAATACAACTGAGCTGATCATTTGACTTGCCTAATCTAAACCCAGCTTTAGGAAAGGTGCCCACTGTTGTGACGGTGGTGTATCATCTGCTATTATGTCAAAACATCATGCGCACGTTCACCTCACGCCACACGACATCAACATGATCTTTTAAGCTGTTGTATGATGCCATACCGCCGCCAGCGCTTGGCTCTACCTAATGCGAAGCGCCCACTGGTAGGGCGGCGTTGTGACAGCATCCAAATAATTCTTGATAAAATAAGTATTTACAAAAGATGAAGACGGCTTATATTACGAATGATCATGGTTGACCATTTTTATCACATTGCTAAAATATCTTCAAATTTCATTTTTATAGTTAGCGCAAGTACAAACATCTACCGGATCCGGTAGCCGAACACCTGTAGGTCTTCATCCCAGTTATACGGATAAACTCGTTGAGGATGCATTGTATGCCCAGGGAGTGCCACCGCCCTCGCATCTCAACAACCTACACCACACACCGGCCGCTCACGGTGGATCCACGGTGAATCAGCTACTAAGAAGAGCAGCTGCGGCTGCTGCACTTAGGCGCGAGCGAAACAATTCCAACCAATCAGATGAGCTCTCCCTTAAACGCCATCGAATGTCAACTGACAACAATATTCTTGGCAATAACAACAATTTAGACGTGGTGAGTCACATGCCGCAAATAACTGCAACCGACTTCTCCACCCACATGAAAACAAACAACAGCGCTCCAAACTCCCCGCACATTAAGGAACAGCACCGGCATGAGAGCAATAAGACGCCTAATGGTAAGAATCTTTATAAGATGAGTTAACTTGGCATAGATCCTAATAGATTCATTCTTCCACAGGTAACAATAACAATAGCATCAACATCAACAACAACACAAACAATCTTAACAACAACAACAACAATAACAACAACAACAACCTTAACACCCACAGCAAGGATAATTCAAATGCAGGTGATCATCCTAGCAGTAATTTATCGAGTATAGCAACCAACGGGGGAAATGGTGGTGGAAGTTTAGGTTCCCATACCGATAAAGATAGCCTAACGCCGTCACCGTCAGTGCGCTCCAATGAGGACGTTAAATCGGAACCGATGGAATTGGTTTGCAGTTCGAACGTAGAACATGAGAACAGTTCCGATTCGATCGTGGACGATCATCACGACATGCAACACCCTGCCGACATTAAAGGACCTATAAGGTAAGAAGCCATGTGCTTAAACAATATTTCGTAATCAATTTCTGGATACATCTGATATAATAAAATGAGTTCTTTATTTTTTATTCTCTGTTACTCAGTTCCCCTCATGAAGATGACATGGATAGTAGCATACATTCCCACACGGCCCCTCCATTTCTGATTTCTCCCGGAGATCAGAAGCTGTTTGCTCCCCCGGGATCGTTTAATTTCTCAATGGCCGCGCTTGCAGCTGACCCTGCAGCCCTTGCAGGTAGGATTCATCATGATATTAGACTACATCCACAAATTTTAGCAAATGATATTCATCACCAGTTTAATATTCAAAAGCATGACAATAACTACATTCAACAAGATAAAGATAATTGCAATAATAACTGTTAATCCACTTTGTCTTCGTGACACAGGTTTCAACTCACAGGCACTACAAGCTGCAGAACTTGCTGGTTCACCGCAAGGTAAGTCCAAACTTGTAATTTATTCAATTTGACTATTTGATTGTGGAATCTATCTCTCACATTTATTTACTTGTTGATTTATTTACCAAAAACATATAATGAGCCCAAAATATATATTTTCCATTTTCCAATTTTAAATCCAAACATAAAACTAATACCGATAACAATTAAAACAAACAAGACAAGCGTCAATGTTAGTTCAAATTCCTTATCAAATAAGAAAATATGGATTAAAAAGCCATCAAAATCTCGCTTCAGCTCACTTCTATTTTCTGTTTTCAATTCTCTCAGTCTTCTTTTTCAAATCAATACTAAGCGACGACAAAAATAAATATTTCATTCAAGAACCCGTACAGTACAGTTACTACTTTCCATATTTTCTTCAAAAAAAAAATCAAACTAATACGACTACCATGTGAAGGCAAGGTGTAATGTTTATAAAACAAACCGTAACAAACCAAATGATGGATTCAATTTAAAATCGTGTACATATTTTTGAGTTCCTTTCCTCTCGGCATTACTTTAAATGATAATACATACGACATAGAGCTTAAGTTGGCTGACGGTTGTTGGACGTCCCTTTAACCTTCGCTGCAATAGGAATATTGTATTTTTTTTTAATTTTCGAAAACCGATGAAAGGTTTATCAATACGAGAGCCAATTATTTGAAACTGTCTTGCTTTAAAAAAAAGCGTGAATTCGTGTATTTTTAGGTCTCCTTAAAAGTACATGATCCAAATCAAGACACATGTGGACGAACTTGTTTCCATTCCAAATCGATCTACTAACCTTAAACTAACTGTACTATTTATTTCCAAATGACTAACAGCTTTTTCTATAATTTCCCGATCCGCTAAATAAAACCTCCCAAAAATTTGACAAACCAAACAGAATTCAGTCCAAATCGTTGACTTTTGTTCGGTATTCGTCCTCATTTATTCGCTCATTATTTAACTGTTATCGATTGTGTGCTACATTCGTTTCTTTATTTACGATCAGTGTTTTAAGTATTGTATAATTGTTATTTGGAATTCTGATATTTCGTGTTATGGTCGTGTTCATTATTAAACGTCGTGTTTGTGTGTTTTACTCATAATATTAATATGTACTACAAAAATCAATACTATATGTGTTTTTAATTTCATTTTCATTTATTAATTGCTGCATTCAATAAATAATGTTCAAGTCTAGCAAATGTTCAATTGGAAAATTCAAACGAATGAGATGTCATCGTGTTTTTATTTATTTTCATTTTCGTGAAAATCTTACACAAATGCAAATGCGCACGCAGCTTTTTGCAATCAACAAAATGTAACCAAAGATTCGATAACTACTAATTCTACCATGGAAGAACTACACAATACCAAATCTTCAATGTTCGATCTTGGACCTGCTCACCCCCATGATGTCAAAATTAATTCGGCTTCGCCCTCCCTCCCCAGAATTGAACCCTGCTGAAAATTTTGATCCGAATCCCTATTAAAATCTAAAACCCAATCAAACCATAAAAATGTATTCTGGCAAATTTGCGGTAGTTTAAGTACTAATACTAGTATGGACAATCACATCAACATACGATTTAAAAAATAAAATTGTACCTGTACATATGACTCTTAGTGTATACAATTATAATTGGCAATGAAACTAAAATTATGCGGAATATGTATATATATATATATAAACAAAAATTCAAAAATGAACGCGAAAATTGGAAATGGAGATTATTATTACTATTATTATTATAAGCTAAAGGCAAATGTAAGTGTTTTCAAAAAGACAACGTGCGTACCTTATAAAACACACGGAATACACCTAAAAAAATGAAAAAAAAATTCATCTAAAATGTATTATTTTTGTTTTTCTTGTTATTTGTTTTTCCAAGATGCGTGAAAATTTTGAAATTTTGAAAACACAAACATACTTAGACTCTAGTTTGGTAAGCAGGAGCACTTATCGTTAGGGAAGAAGAATTCAATGCTTTTATAATTTACATTTAAGTTTTATTATCTTACTAATGGTTCAAGGGATGCAATGGTTCTTGCAACTATGATAGATTATGATTTATTTGTTTTTTAATTCAAAATTTGGTTGACTATTTTTTGGCTTATTTCAAAACATAGGATCCAAACTTATCCTATTAACTTGAACTGTATTATGCATATATAAAAAATAAGTCGGCCTTTTTGTTTTTCTTTTTTTATTTTGAACCAATGAAAAACTTACTTACACCTGTAAAGTTCACAATTGGTGAAGGAAAATTCAAACCATAAATTCAAAACATTTGCCACTGTTGAGTAATTGTTGGGCTAATATGCGACGTATTTTATAACTTCTTCTGTCGTCAGGTCGACTGACGACGATCACAAATTCCAACGAAAAATCGTCTGACTTCCACGACGCACATCCTCCTCCATCGTGCTCGATCCTGTCACCAACGGCCAACCCGATGATACATTCCATACCGCTGAACCAACCAGGCGAGGATTTTCGCTGTGATCCGTGCAATAAGAATCTCTCGTCGTTGACGCGTCTCAAGCGCCACATTCAAAATGTTCACATGCGGCCAACAAAAGAACCCATTTGCAATATTTGTAAAAGAGTGTACAGCTCTCTCAATAGCTTAAGAAACCACAAAAGCATTTATCACAGGAACATGAAACCACCAAAAGAGGAGCATATCTTGCCAACGAACTCTGGCCCTACGTCACAACAGGCTTTATCCAACATGTCCAGTGCCGTGGATCAGAAGCATCAGTATTTCTCTTTGAATCATCACACAGCCTAGACAAACAGTTCTTCCACTTACGCCTTGCATCACTCAGCATAGTAACGCTTACGAAAGTTATTGTTTTCTATTTTATTGCAATATAACAACTGTCATTACTATCGAGAACGAACATTTTCATACAAAAAAACTCCATCATTTTTCTAATCGTAGTAGGCATATTTTTAAGAACTTAGTAGATAAAGTTTTAGTTCACATAGCAATTACGCTTACACAGTTCTCGTACACTTGTTCTAGGAAAGCATGTACTAAACCGTTTGTTTGAACAAAAAAAAACGTAGTTAACAAAATGGAAAACATAGTTTTATGTTATCGTAAATGTATAAAATTAGCAAATATTAAAAACTAGGTAAATCATTTTTTTTGTACGACCAGAACGCCAAATTCTGTAGACACTTAAAAACAAAAGCAAAATTGGAAAACAAAAATTGAGACATTAGTGACTTTAAAAACCAAATCAGGCTTATCAAAACGAAACAAAAAGTTACTTTCAAATCGAAAAACAAACAATTGCAAATTGCATAAACAATAGCTGTACATTTTTTGGCTGCTTTTGATCTTGTTATCCTTGTTAGCTTTTCCGAAACCGGAGTAAAAACCAATAGTGCGAGAAGAGATAAGTGAATGTCAAAAGTATTTACACGCGCGTGTGCACACTCTTCTGCACATCGTTAGAGGGATCCAATTCTTATAATAGCATTTCTGTTATGACTGATTTCAGTAATCCTGATTCCTTCACCACTATTGTCGTATTTTCGGAATGATCAATAGCGAAACGGAAGATTTTATCTCTCCGACGGATAGTAATGAATGTTATGGAATTGAGACGTGTGTGTATAATCTCTTACCCTGCTTACACTTAATTCATCAAAACCGTAGGTGTTAATGTCATTCATGTTGTTTTTGCTGACAGGAATAATTTGAAAAATGGAAAATATAATATAACATTTATAATTTGTTTTTTCTCAAAAGTTTTTATTTTCGGTTTTAAATTCGGAAAACATTACGCTTCTCAAAATCAAAAGTAACTAAAATATGCCTGAAATTAGAAGAAATTCAAAACAAAACAAAAATTCCAAACTGATCAAAAGAACAGTAAGTCACTATTGTCTCTCTTTTCTTTTCCCGGTGATGCTGCTTATCAATCCGATCAATCCCAATCACGCAATATCAATTGCACATTCTAATATAACGTGGTCGGATGGTTGGGACACACACGCACACACGCCTGATGATGATGGGGGTGGTGATGATTGCAGGTATGAACATAGGACGACCATCATCTCCATCGGATATGAATCACTCCAGCGGTGGTGGAGGGAACCGGTTGACACTACCCCTTCCGCTGACTGCTTGCCATCGATGTGATGTTTGCGGTAAATTATTAAGTACAAAACTGACCCTGAAACGGCATAAGGAACAGCAACATCTGCAGCCATTGAACAATGCCGTTTGCAATCTATGCCACAAAGTTTTTCGCACACTCAATAGCTTAAACAACCACAAGAGCATATACCATCGCAGACAGAAATTGCTCCACCATCATCACCAGCACCATGCTCAGCATCCGTTTGCTTCGGTGGCAGCGGTTGCCGCAGCAGCTGGTGCTGCCAGTCCGTTACATCACCCATCGCAGCATGCCTTGCTTGGGGATGCAAGCGGTGCTGGCTGTGACATTAAGCATAACATTGCAAAGCTAGAATTTCTATAATTGCTCAGCTGGAGTATATTTAATTTGTATAAATGTTCAACAAAGACTACGCGTTAGTGTAGAGACTCTTGGAAACCCCACTTGCGCAAGTCTTGGTCAATTAAAAATCAAAACCATTCAACAGAAATGCTAAATTGTTTGGCAACATAGAAAAAAATATGACGTTAAGTAAAACACATACACTGCAAAAGTTAGAGAAAATGATTGTGATTTTTTTTTTCTTATCGTAGACAAAAATACTCACATTTAGTTGGAGAAATCAACTGATGACAAGTGTTTGTCGAAATCGAATATACATAACATAATAACCCTAATCTATAGATTTTTCGCCTGAAACAAGTTAGTTTGCTGAGCGTTTTCGAAAGGCTGGCTAAACTATTGTTGAATTATTCTTTTGAAATTCATCATATTTATTTAGTTTTAATTTCATTAAAAACTATATTCAAAATATTATTTTTTAGACCTATCATTACGTTTACATATACCATTAAATATTTCTACTATGGTTATAGGTGTTATACAGCTAAATAGAGTTCTTTATTTTAATATATTTTCCCACATTAATGCGAAAAACGATCAGTTGGATTAACATTTTCGTTCTCCACACCATATGTGTACGTCTTTGTTTATCTTATTTAAGGGTACGACGAAAAACGAGCTTAGACAATATCGAAAAATTAAAAAAAGAACAAAGATTGATCAAGAAAAACAAAAAAAACGAACAACATACGAACGACTCATGAAGATAACCTTCGTAATCCTGCATGTAAAACATGGAAACATATTAGAAAATCATGCATTGGCTTTTTGATATGCAAAATGGGGATAACCACCTTACTTAACATGCATACTTAAACGGAACTGTTACATGCAAATCAAACAGACAAAGAGAAAAAAGGGCATCATACTTAAAATCCCTTTGACGTAAATTTGTTATTCGTTTCGCAGTCTCCTTGTTGAATAAAAATGTATTTCGGTCAATCTAACGAACGATGTGCAATAATCGATTTATATCATTTGGATGAATAACTATACTATTTTTGATCTATCGATCAATGTTGCTACGTTTCTAGAAAAGTTTAGCAACTTTTTCGGATTTTTTTTTTCCGCGGTAGAAGCCTCTAACTATTATTTGTTCCAGGAATTGGTTTCAAAAGGTAAAACTATTTTAAGGTGTATGTATGAAATTTCTACAACGTAACTGTATCTAAGGGCAGACTTTTAGAAGAAGTTAGAAATTATCATATTAGACTTTGATTTTTTGATGATAATTAAAAACATATATTCTATGATTGCTACAGTGAGTCCTTTCAATAAAAAAACAGTGATCGTTTGTCCAGGCAGTTAAAATCCTAAAAATCATTTGCTGGCTTGGGATCCCATGTACCAACTACCATTCGATAGTTGGTGTGAATTTGAAGCTGTAAAAAGGTATGACCATTTCCTAAATCATTTTAAATTATCATCAATAAAATTTCAATGCTAATTTGATACAATCCACTCACTGATACTGCTGTGCACCGAATGCTGGAGGTTCTTTAATCTGGACATTTTATTTTTTATGCAACATAATACTGTTTGATGGACATTGATGATGCAATAGCATCAACATCAAATTTTCGTTTGTTTATTGTGCATAGTAGGCACGAATAATTAACTCTTAAAAGTGCCCGGAATGATGGCATAGGTTTTCTGGATTTTGGTGCACGACGGTATCTGATGTTTAGTTGGAATATCATTGAAGTTTAAAATTACATTTCCCCGAACTTTTCCCTATAACAATATTTCCTTTTTTTCTAGAACCTCGAGAAATTAATGTTTTCCCTTTAAATTCAACAATCTTTTGCTACTTTTCCATAAAATCTCTTATGAAAGGTCTTACCAAAACTTTTCAATTATATGATTAATTAGCAGCAGACTGATTGGTTTTTAGCCGAACGAATTAATCGCACCATTCGTGCAGTTTAAAATGATGTTACCTACAACTTATGTCGTGGAACAATACTTTTTGATTATGTCTTCTCAAACCTTGAGATGCAAGCGCTTTACTTATGCTAAGCTAAACAAAATCTTAAATTACACTCAATTCTGTTTTTACACGATATTTTTTTCGCCGCTATTGTTGATCATGTCAGATAGCAACCAACCAAATTTAATGTAACTTATTTCATAAAATCACAAATAAAGCAAAGAAAACAATTGTGATTTTATAAATGCTGTAAATATGAAAATCGCATCAAAACATAATTCAGTGTAATCATATTGTCGAGCAGTTTTGGGACGACCATCTAACAGCGGAAAGTTAAGCAATAAATTACTATTTTTAAGCTTAGCACAAATAAGACCAGGGGTTGAAACGCGGTTGACGTTTTTTACTACACTCGCTTCGTTGTTGTGCGCGACATTATGTTTGTATTCGTACACTCATGTTTTACCGTCGTCTCTCTCAAACTACACAAACGGTAGAACAAGATTCGAGCAAAAGAAAATTATCAAATAATTATCATATGACAATGTGTAATTTCGATCTAATACCTTCCTTGTGTAAATTAACCCATTTCTGATCAGAAATGTTATATCTAGGACAACGTTGCTTGCTATTTTCAGAATTCACACAAGCACAACATTACAAGCTCTTATTATGAGAAAACCTAGAATAAATAGCTACGTGACGATCTTCGGCGACATTTTAGTTTGGTACTGTACTTTGATAGCTTGTTTTGCAAGTGTTGGCAGCAAAGGCAGCCAATTATCACAGAAAATGCGTCGATTACTAAATGCGCTGAATAAGACTCTATTTTCTGGAGGTTCTAGAACAAAACGTAAGGAAAATGGATGTAATGTCGGCCTAAATGCCCCTAATTTGGGCCCATACATAATTTCAGTAATCGACTTAATTTTCAATAGGGACCAAAAATATCCATTAGTACCGTCCCAATGACGAGTTCATCTAAATAAAATTGATAGATAGCTGATTTTTAGCGATGGGCTCAATCTTAGATCCATAGGCCAACATTAGAGCTATTTCCCCTATATCAATATATTGTTCCAAGGCAAAGTTCGAGTGGTAGGAAACGTCATTTTAAATTGCTCGAATTATGTGAGCCATTGATTGCTTCAGTTTGTTAACATCATTGGTGTCCCAAAACTGCTCGACAATAATTTAATAAAACAAGGAAAATTATTGTTAATAATTTAACTACCATTTTACATTAACAGTTTAGGTAGAAATAGGTAACCAAGGCAACATGTTTTGAAATCATTTTGTAAAATTACTATAAATAATGATAATTAAAAACAAACACTTTCCTGGAAACTGATTCTCGAAACAGTTTACCTTTTGGAGGCGAATCAATACGATAAAAAATGGAGTCCCCCGAGAACCATTTGATCCAATTTAATTTATCAAACGGAATTCGCCATTTTTGCTTGAGACCATGGATATTTAATTTCTACTCCATTTCTGATCAGAACAAGTGGAATTGCGCAGCAACCACATATATGGCACATGGGATTAGCTTATCCGTCTTCAATGTGCAAGTTTACACACTTAATCACGGCTTTTTCCTGCCCGGCAATTTTTTTACAGTTTTCGAACTGTAAATCACAAAAAAATACCGAACATTAGGCTATTCTCAATAAAACTACTGATATTCAGTAGTTTTTGCGACAAACTACTGAATACGGTAATAGCAAGTATTCAATTTTCCGTAACACAGCTTTACGGTGAATGACTAAAACTCAGTAAAATAGAGTACCAAGTTTTCAGGATTCATTAAGTTTTACTGAGAACGGTCATCAAACGAAATTCCAAAATTGCTAATCTCAACAGTAAGTCAACATGCTTGCTTCATCCTATACTCTGTGTGATAACAGAAATCCCTTGATAAAATAAGTGGAAACCAACGCAGGAGTGCAGAAACTGCCCGGAATGCATCGACTTACAGATGTTTCACTGATTTTGAAGCAAAAACATTCAATAACATTGCCTGTTGAGGAGCTCCAGACATGGACACGCAATCCAGCGCACCAACCGGCCGAACCACCAGGAAGCGCTAAACATGTTATCCTCAGTCCCCAAATAAAAATCGTAAAAATTAGAATCATTCTAATCCTACCCATCGTATGGAACCTCAAAAAATTCATTGACTACCAGGAAATCAACTTTTCTGATGACTTATTCATCAAAACGCTGCAATAAAAATGCAGAAAAACTCAGCAAAAAAGAGATGTTAACAAATAAATTACTGATAAAGACAGCAATTCCTTTACTGACTTAAACGGCAATTTTTGACATCTCAGAGATTCTGCGATTTACGCAGTTTTCAGTAAAAGTAAAAACTACTGCGTTGATTACTGAAAAGGCAGCCAACTTCGGAAATCTGAACTCTGTGTGCACTAATTCAAGCTATTTATAGATCAGCACCGGCACCGGCAACATCCACAAAGGTTTTTTTTCTTTCGAAGGGGAAGGATCATTAGTATGACAACCATTGTTATAGAGACAGTGTAGGTAAACACTGTCTCTATAACAACGGTTGTCATCGTAGAGGTAACTGCGTCTCTACGATTGCCATTGGAAGGAAAGTTGTGTTAGTATGGGTCAGGTTATTTGTTATTTGGATCGATCGGTAAAACAGATTTGTTTATTTAAATCTAATGGGGATAGATAATTAGGCATAGTGACAAACACGAGAAAACTACCGGACTAACAGACTTGAACTACTGGACCTTCCGCTCAGTAACAGAAACGGTAACCACTAAGCTACCAAGCCTAGCTTTATCAAATAACACTCACCGTTTGAATTTCAAAGTTTGCATGTTTTTTGACTTGGCTGCGCAACTAATTTTGGCAGGTTTTTAAAAGTCACACTTTATTATCAAGTTGAATGAAAAGAACAGTTTAGGTACTTTTTTATTACGGTGTACGTTAAACCAGTTCAAATTTATACCTACACTGCAAGGTGCTTCATTATGTAAAAAAGTATTTGCAATCATTAAGACCACCCTCCATTTTGATTCATGTCCCAAAAATATGAGTCAGTGGACAAAGTGTTGAAAATTGATGAAGGTTTAGAGGTCTCGCAAAAGGTTTAGGGATTGCTATGAAGACATATTAAACGACACAAATATCGCTCTAACTTATGAGTTATGAGTTAAGCTGTAGGGTGGTCTTCATGATTGCAAATATTATTTTCAACGTGAAGCAATCTAATGTTTTAGTATGCAAATACTGTTTTCAAAATAAAGCACTGAACGAACAAGGATCGATTACAATCTGTTAAATTTTATTTTTTTTTTTCAAATGTTGTGGTTCAAAAGGCAAATTAATAAAATTCATACCGATTTCTTGTGCCTAAAAAAACTCATAGCAACCTTCAGGCTAGTACACATAACTATTGTTTGACATGCAACTATGCTGCAGGGCTGAATGGCAACACATGTGCAACATCTGCGCTTCAATCCCTCAATGATAAACAGATTTGTGCTGCTCTGAGTCCCATTCGGAATGGAAAACCAAAATCCCCTCAGCAATTGTTGACGTTGGACGACGCAAAACGTGGAGTGTTTGGTTTTTTTGGGTTCTCTGGTTTTTTAGATGTAATTTTAGGAAGCTCTCCGAGCTTTAGTGACGTTAACGAATTTTAGTAACGTTTGAAGTTCACAAAACGTTTTTTTTTTCAAACTTAAACGACGTTTCAAATAAGTTCTACGAACAACCTTTAGAGAAATCCTATGAACATCAGGGATGTCCTACAAGCTTCAAGAATGTCCCACAAATTTCAGGGATATCATACGAACTTCAGAAAACTTACGATTTTCAGGGAAGTACTACAAACTTTAAGGTTCTGTAAACTTCAGAGAATTCCTACAGTTTTCATAAAAGTTATCTGAGAACTCCATTGAATTCCTCCTCTGAAGCTCACAAAATGACAGCTTAAGAAAGCTGTGATGGATTTCAAATTGATTAACAAATCAAATCAATGCGTGTTCTTTCATAACGAATGTAATTTTTGAGATTGATTTTTATTTTTTCGAAAGTAATTGAAATGCAGTGTTACGCAAATTTTTGCAGCTCCATTGCAAGTGCACTGGTAAAACGTAACATGACTATGAGAACTATTTTGAAGGGATTTCTGAAAAAATAAATTATTGGATTCACACTTAAAATTCAATACAAATTGGTTCGAAAATCATTTCGTCTCCGCCAGACCTATGGTTCTGAGATTTTCGGAGAAGATCTAGGACTTCCTGAGATCTTCGAAGATGTTTAAGGAGCTTTTGGATAGTATTGGGTTATGTGAACTTCAGAGAAGCTTTGGAATTTTCAAAGAAATTCTGCAGGTTTTCCAAGAGGTTGTGAGTACTCCGGTATAGTTCTGGGAAATCCGATGTTTTTTGTGAACTTAGTTGAAGTTCTGTTAACTCCACTGTAGTTTGGGGAACTCTGATGGAGTTCTGGAAGCTCTGTTAAAACTCCTTTGAAGATCGAGAATTGAAGTTCTGGGAATTCCATTTAAGCTCTAGGAACTTCCTGAAGCTCTGAGAATTTTCCTGAAGTTTTGAGAGCTATAAAGTGTCCAACATACGTTTTCCGAGATATTTTTGCTCTGAACTTTTTCAATGAGTTCACTAAGTTGCATAAGTCATATGGACCTATTCAAAAAAGTTAAAGTTTCAAAATCCATCACAATCTTTCAGTATCAAGTTGTCCAAAAGGTGCAAACCTTCCAGTTTAAAAAAAACTGCCTTATATTTATATGCCATGGTAATAGTAGTGGTGATTGAAACAGCTCCATTATTATTTAACCGTGACAGTTCCCAAATAAAGAAAGTTGAGAATCGACTAATTTAAAATGCGTTCTTATAGACTAGCTACTTTTGAAAGATTCGTTCACGTACATTTGCTTTGCAAGCATCACTTCCTTTATAGGGTAGTATATCGGCATAAGGGCTTTTTTCCGTCGTATCGAGCAAAATCATCAAATATATGAATTATTTCGTTCCTATATATGATAATTTTGCTCAATATGGTGGAAATAGGCGCATATGCCGAAATAGTTATCTACCCTATAGAGAAACCGAGTAAAAAAACGTATTAAGAATGACGTTATCCTATGCCGATACATTGAATCCGTATACTACCGTATCCTTATGGAAAATATCCATGATCCGAAGGACATACGATCAGAAGAAGTGATTTCCTAAAAAAAAAAATTCACCGTTCACCGGTTCATAATTCGCATTCACGATAATGCCAACTTGACGGCAATGGAGGGGGGTTCAAAATCACTTTTGAATATATGCAATACGGGAGAAAAAGTGTATACAAGCTTAGTTTTGCTTACCGAATCTCAGTAAATTGGTACCACCGAGCAGGTTAAGGTTAAGAGAAATCTTAACAAAAGTCACGTTTGGTTGCTGAGTTTCGGAAAATGCTTCGATGAATCTCAGTAAGCAAAGGTCATTTTGTTGATGAGATTTCAGGAATATTTAATGCCAAGCTCCTCGGTGGTGCCAAAATTACGTCATTTCGGCAAACAACATTGATATATATTAGAAAATTTTCTAATGGCAATGTATGTTGGGACTTTCAAACGAGCGAGATAAAATTGTCCACCATTGAACCAATTCCACCAACACAAACTTGTTGAGAGGCTCTACCCAGTTGTATTTTTTGATTGAACAGTTTTTCACATTTGGTAAAACTCTACCGATATTTTTTGTTTCTTGGAACAGATTTGAATACAATGATTTTTTTTGGAAAAATACTGAGGCAAAAATTAGTACACATAATGATACTAAAAAACAAAAACCTAAAATTAGTAAAAAGAGTTTATGAGTTGTTCGACGACTGACTAGATTTAACGAAACAAAACAAAAGAATATTTAAGATGTTTAAACCAATCAGAAATTGCAGAAGGGGCAAGAAAAGACACATTCAAAATTTTGTAGTTACCACATATAAAATAGTATTAGACATGGTGATTTTTAATGTTGAAAAATCGGAACATCTTGCTCCTATGCTTTTAACCGCGGGGTGCAAAAAGAGAAACAAAAAGCAAAAAAGATGCAAAAAGAAACTGTAATAACAAACATTTAAATTTAACAATCGAATTGGAATGTGATTAATTTCGAAATTACTGATTATACAAAATTCGAAATTCAAAATTGTTATCAAAATATATAATTTATGCGAAAACATGTTTGTGATTGTCAAAAAAGACTGAAAATTTAAAATTATATTTTTTTTTATATACATTATCGGATTGGGCTAAACAAAAATTATAAGCAAAAGTAATTTAAAGTAATCAAACAAAAGTCTGATTTTGATAATTCGATACCAAAATTAATATTATTAAAAGAAATATATTTATAAAATCAAATGAAATCTGGCAATTTTTAGAAGACTTAAAAATTTAAAATTATTCTATTTATTTTCTGTTATTTATATTACGTTTATTTATTACGTTCTCAATGAAAAAGAATGAAAACGACCGGTTAAATTAAAATCTCATTTCCTCTTCTTTGCAAAAATGTACACATGAATACAGTCCCTCCGCATACGTTAGCTGTTTTAAACAAAAGATTAAAGAAAACAAAACAAAAAAAGATCAACAACAGATTGTAGAAAATAATGCATTGTAAATATAAAGAACCTTACAAAACAATGTATCACACAGATTTACTAACAGAAAAAACGACTGCAAATAGCTTAATCTAAACACACCTACATATTAAAAACCGAATCATTCAAACCTGAGTTGATAGTGAAGATGGGTTTATGTTCAATCTCCAATACCAGACGCGTTAACTCTTATCAATACACAATTACACAAACGAGCAGACAACTATATAAAAGGAAAAATTTATTCAGCACTATCCATTAGCTTCTTAATGCAGTACACAAACACATCTACTATATAGCTACATTTGATTTGGTCTACGTCTACACAAAGAAACACAAATAACAAATATATTAAAGATTTTAAAGATAAAAATGATGTACTAAGGATCAAATACAAGAAGTTTATTTTTACAAGTATCACATTGAATAGCTCATTATAGAATAATTTTTGTACGTTTTCATACTTATTTTATATCACTATAGTTAATTGTTCACTTATAATGGCGTAATAGATCAGCTTGTGTCTATGTTAATGCATTTGTATCCAATTCCATGTTACTGATTTTGGCATTTCTATTTGTAGACGACAGAGCAACAAAATAATGAAAAAAATATAATTTTCCATATTATCACAGTACATAGTAAACAGTAAATGAGAATTTTATTTCTTATGCAGGACATACACTAAATAGCATTTTAGACAGTAGACAAGTATGATAAACGATCTGAATCTATTTTCCGGCATCTCGACAAACCAACTATAACGCATGTAAATGTGCGCCAGTAATGAATGAGAAATAAAAAAAATAAAAAAGTGAAGCAGCAAATTGAAGGGATATTTATTTACATTGAATACAAAGTGAAATAAGAACAAAAAATAGATCCGCATTACAATTAATAAAAAAAAAAAAAAACAATATATTTCTTCTTAAAATTACCGTTAAATAAGCATTTAAAGAATATGTTTATTTCAGTGAAAACATTCAGAATACTAACACATGATCAATATTTTTTACAAATATACGATAAAAAGTAAAACAAAAAAAACTTCAAAGGTTTCCCTTCATTACCAATATGACAGCAATGAGTCTTTCAATCTACTACCGCAAAGATTCGAACGAGAACTGAACATTGACATTTATCAGTGCTTCTGAGACTGTATCCAAGTAGGCAGGCCCCAAACACGTTCGAGAATCTACTGAAAGAGGGTCACTCTTTCTCACTCCAACCTCTAACTATCTCTTGATGCTGTCTATCTGTCTGTCTTCCTCTATCCTTGCTATCTGGAAGCGCATTCACAATCTGTCTCTCTTTTCTCACTGTAGCTTAACAAAAATTAAAATAAGTTTTAAAAATACCAACAAAAATCACACCAAAATCAACCAAAATAAATACGGGTAGTTTTTGGAATATTTTTTCGTATGTCTTGTTCCAGGCTGCTCTCCTAAGAAACTGTTTTCATGTCAGCTGTGCGGTAAAGTATTATGTTCAAAAGCATCATTGAAACGACATATCGCTGATAAACATGCAGAAAGACAGGAAGAATACCGTTGCATCATTTGCGAGCGGGTCTATTGCTCTAGAAATTCCCTGATGACGCACATCTATACGTATCATAAGTCCCGTCCAGGGGAAATGGAAATGAAGGACATTAAGTTCTTCTAATGCCAACATCGGGCGCCCTTGCCACTAGTTGCCGTCTTGGAATACAATTTTAAGCAAACAATTAAGCAAAGTTTTGAACATAGCAAGCAAGCAAATTCTGTAATACAATCACAATAGGAAGTAGACTACGCTAATAGGTACATAAGTGGTGATATCGTCATTTTACTACTTCATCGACTATCGGCCGTGCAGGGGGCGCTCATCGCAAATACAAGAACAAAGCAAAACACAAAAACCCTTTGCGACCCGAAGAAGCACAAGTGGTATTCCCATTCGCCAAGGTTAGAACGATACTTTTAGCTACCAAAACCAATTACACCAGATTCTAAAAATCTTTTTCTACACATAATCTTCATATAAAATAGTTCCTCTTGCTAGAATCAAACGCTACTTTACTTGCATTGATTTTTTTTTCGATAAAATAGATAGATAAAGCCAAACCAGTCGCAAGTTGTGAGAAGTAAAAAACCAGAAATATTTGAACGCCATATTTAAATAATGAAGCATTTATCCCCTTTCTTCAGTATCTATACTGCATTGCACCCGTTTTTCTGTCCGAAAACGATATGCCTGATATCAACTACGTAGTGTTAATCTATAGTTGCTATCTACAGTAGATTCGGAAATTTCCTATTACTTAATTTAAATATATAATAGTCAATACCTGAACATTTCGAAAACCTGACTTCAAAAGTTATGGAATCTTTCAGCTACAGCTACCTCCCACTAACCCCTTTATCATGATCTTGAACATTGCAAGTGCAGCAAAGCAACCCAATCTTCCCCTTTTGTGTCTCAGCGTAGGAGCAAAGTGCCATTTTGTTTGCAATCTCCACAGCACACTCTGTTTTATCGATGTGATTCGAAGTGTGATACCGTAAATCCTTCTCAAATTTGGTATTACTGTTGTTAAAAGCTGACTAGTAGCCTGTTTAGGGTGCAATTGGGATGCTGGAATGTGCTCTATCATAAGAATAATCATAATCAAAAGAAATTCGTGTAGTATTTGTAACAGAAATTGTGTATATTTTTGTGTTACGTGTTCTGTGTTCATATCGCATGCTTTTGATGTATAACTTTTGTACTTTGTATAACCTTTTTCTGTGTTGCACAACAACGATTCTCACTTCATGAAACATGACGTTCAACTATTGATAGTCCGAGGCGAAGTGCCGGAGCCAATTCGTATGATATTCTAGTCTGGTAGGTATAGCAATGACTCGCGGGAACACGACTCGGCAGTTCGGCACAGATAAATATTATCTATCTGTTTTACCGGGAAAAAAAACATCTTCACATTTTCTTCACGTCATTGCTCATGCTATAGTAACTACATACTTTCACATCTGAACATTATAATAAAATAAACGGTGTTATCCAACTGAAGAGTACGTAAAAAAATGTAAAAAAGGTACAGAGATCAAATGAAAGATTACGCTTTGTCCGCATCATACTCGTAGAATTGTGTTTGCAGTAATGTTTAATTTTGTGTCCCGGCTCATACAGGAACCAAATCGTAAGAATACTCAGCATTCCCTGGAACACACTATTCTACTGTACGTACCGTACCACGGCAGCTGAGTGCTCTTCACGACATTTGTGTCCTCCAAGTGTTCACACGTGCAGCATGATCGCAATGAGTAATAACTAAAAACCGGAAATCGTTTGCTGTTGCTTTGCCATTGTAGCGAGTGAAATATTTCTTCAGATGGATGTTGCTTTTTTGTTTTCATTTAATTGCCTTCTAATGTTCGGTGATCACAGCATGTAAGTTGATTACTCTTGTTTTCCTTTTGTTTTTTCATTGTTATACTCGTTTTCGTTTCTCGTTCACACCGATTATTTTAGTTCTGTTCATTATATAAAGGATAAAAATACTTCTACTTTCTACTTCCCATTACCTTTCTTTAAAAAAAAAACTTAAAGAAAAACAGTATTCTAGCGCAACTTTCCAATTTACTACTAAACATTAAACCCCCTATGAGCACCAAGGATAATTCTAAAATCTGACATCTTACTTGTTTTCCCTCCAAACCCAGCAGGACAACAAAGTGCTGTCTCGGCAGCGTCCTCATCTCAGCTAACACCGCTGCGCATGCCACCGCCCACTAGTGGTGGCATCAATGAGCCGCAAGAATGTCCCTACTGTCGAAGAACCTTCTCTTGCTACTACTCACTTAAGCGACACTTTCAAGACAAACATGAACAATCCGATACGCTGTACGTATGTGAATTCTGCCATCGCCGATATCGGACGAAAAATTCGCTAACGACACACAAAAGCCTCCAGCACCGTGGGTCGAGTGGAATGCTAAAGCGACTACTGAAGACATCGGCCATCAAGAACGTGCTCGGCGGATCAAGCACCAACAGCAACTCAGGTATTCACGGTTCCAGCCATCCGCGGCCACATCTCTTCGATTTCGCCGCAGAGCTAGGGCAACCTCCACCAGGTATACAGTAAAATTATTTCCTTTTCTCCCATCTGAGGAGAAAGGAGGAACAGGAAACAACATACGCAGCTAAGTCATCCATTTTTAGTGTATACAATATTCAATAAGTATAACTGGCAGTTTGTCCATGTCTAAAGAGTTGTCAAATCACACGCGATCAGCGATCGTCAACTACCAGCATATCTATGATTTTCCTTCCTCTTTTCGACAGATTTTTTCTTATTCTCGGTAAGGAAGCAAATCAAAGGAGCATATCTTAAACAATTCATGGAGTGTGAGATGGCGAATGTGCAATATAATAAATTGATAAAATCAAAAATCACATTTTAAGTTGTAACAAAATTCAGTCCTTAGGATATGTTTTCTTCCTTCTTTTTAAATCTGTTATGACCTTAACGTCAAATATCCAATTATTAGTAGTGTTTTTGACTCGGTTTACAGTTTTTATTTAACACTGACACATGTCGTATTCAACGATTTCAACACAAAATATGACGCAATTCCTATTATTCCCAGAAACCTCCAAAACTTTGCCTCTAAGAAGTGACGTGGAAAGCACAAAGACATTATTTCTGTATAGTTTACTAATGTTGTGGGATGAGCAAACTTACATCAATCTACGGCAGCTTCAAATGATGAACACAGTCTTTTAATGGCAAAGGTGATAAGAAACTAGCTTCTGATACATTAAAAATTAAAATTAAATAATATGAATTCGCATATGTCGATGGAGTCAACATGATTACATTGAAAACATTTGAATGTACCGTGTCTAGTTGATCTGAAGTTCTCAAACTTTCAATATCCAAATTTTTCGCGACTACCATACCTACATGGTTTGGATTTCTGTTTAATCAAATCTGGCGATAATTAAGAAAATTTATTTAATTAGCTTTGAACTGAGAGATCTTCGATATAACTTTTGATAACTATATGGTGTACCAGCTAATATAAATTCGGTTTATTAATACACTCAGGTCTTTTTTACACGGGAGATTTATACCGTGTAAATAAAGTCTTTCAAACATGTTCACATGCTGAAATATCTTTTTTTTTAATGGATGTTGATGAAAAAGAAACTTAGTATGGTAGATTACCCAGTTTTGGTCCTAGCTCCAGTATTTGACCCTAGTGAGAATATGTGAGACCGATAACATTGATGAAATCGGCTCAAGGTGGCTTTATTTCAGTAACAGTCAAAAGACAAAATTTCAGTTCAATTTAGTAGCCCTACATTTCGGTTGATTCCAACATGTCTTCGATTTTGACGTTCTGGTTCGATGGGATTTGACGTTTTAGTTCAGAGTGCTATACTGAAGTAATAGGCAAATTAACACGTTGTTGGAAATTTCAGTTTCATGTTTGTTTTAATCCATGTTAAATTTACTTCCAAGTATTGAAGATTCACAGAAACCGTTTTTTCCTAAATAATTCAATCGCGGTAGCTTTGCGGAGCCGTAGTTCATTATGCATTTTACAATGTTTCTTTAAACTAGAGTTAGCTGAAGGGGCCGAATACTCGTGGCTTTTTCGAGTTTACGGGCTACAATTTATAAACAGATTGGGAGGGGATCTAAGAAAATTTAATCAGGAAAGCGATTGATATTTTATCTCCATCGCCGTTGTATTGCAGTATTCGATTTGAACGTGGGAGATGCACTGCGGTGACGGATAAGTGCTCTTAGTTTTTTTGAAAGGACAGATGGTTGACGATAAAACTCTACCGAAACACACAAAAAAAACACTAAAAATGGGCATGGTTTGGGACAAAGATGAGAGACACTTAGTTTGGAACACGGACAAACAAAATGAAAATACATTCTTGTTAAGTAATTTTATCTATCAAAATTGATGATCGACGAAAACAATGACCACTTAAAAGTTAGTTGCATCAAAAGTGTTTTCAACATCGGAAGCATCAAACTAATGATATTCCTCACGGAATCAGATATATTCAACATTTCGACAATGTAATCCACAGTTCCAAAAAACATGAACATAACATCATGTTGATTTGGCTGTAAAGTTAAAGCATTTGAAGCCTTGTAAGAACCTGGATGTCGTGAAAAGTTCCTATCAAAATCGAATGATGTGAGACCCAGTGGATGGGTTTTCGGAACATTACCGCTACTTCATGATTTTTCCAAGATAAATCAAGGTTCAATACGCGAGGGTTTCCATTCCTGGATCGCTGGAGGTCAAAGTGGATGTTACCCGAGTTAATTCTGGAAGATGGAGCGACAGTTCTCAGGACTTCTAAGAAGAAACACTTCAAAGACCGCTCGAGTTTTTCTCTCTGCTGCTTGTACCTCAGACAATCAGCGGGAGCATGCGGAATTCAAAAACAATAAACACATTTCGAGGTGGCTCGACAAGAATCCTCCGTATGCTTCTCCTCACACAAACCGCTGCAGTGTGCCCTAGTTGCTAGCATTTTGTTCAGTTCATTAACTTTGGTACAAACAAGTAGGCCTTCTTCATTCCAACGAGGGAGACTGAATACATTAGAATGCAGTCAACTTAGGGTTATGTTAGGGTTCTTTAAGACACCAACCCGGCCTTTCAGGAGTCATACTCGCTTCGCTGACAATTCCTACGATTTCAAAATTCCGACAGGGAATGTACACGCGATACTCCATCGAAAAAAGCTCAATCCTGTTTGCCTGCACATGGTCACCAACGGTAATGCCCAGTTTGTTTGGACTCACCTTCATAATCTCGTTCACGGTCGCAAAATATTTTACCAGATCCTTTGAAGTCTGATTAAAATTCAAAGCTTTTTGTTTTTGCTGGAAGAAAACAACCAACTATCGCTTCTTCTAAGTAAGCCTAAGAGCATGGGGAGCTGGTGTTTTCGAGGGTACAGGAAGACAGTGTCAAAGGTGGACGAAGGGTGGACCTCAGGACACCCAAAACATCACCACCAAAGGCATCCATGTCATCAGAAGGAAGCAGAGTTTTCAGAGAATCATCTTTAGAGATATCGGGACGTAAATCCACTGCGTACTTTGATCTTTTGCACGGAAAACAAATCAAGGGAAAAAAAATCCTTTGATTGTAGTATTAATGGTGCAGCATTTTAAAGGAGAACTTGAAGATTTCGGGTGTAGAAGCAACTACAAAATCCAGCTACATAAGGCAAATGAACTGTCAAACTTCGTTCGAACGACGTCTCCTTTGTTATCATTAATTAATTAATTTAGCTTTATTTAGGAGGCTTTCAGCCTTAGGCTGGTTCGCCTCCGTCCTTTGTTATCATTGAAAAGGTATTGCGCACTGCAAGAAATTTTGTATTCATAAGTCGTGCGCAACTACGGTTTTACGTTAAATCTGTTTGGTATTTTCGGGACACTTATTCTTTGGCTAATAAGGAATAAGTGCGCCGAAGACACCAAAAATATTTAATGTAGAACCGTAGTTTTATAAGCGCTTCTGCACAACTAATAAAAAAATCATAGAAATGCATAATAAATAAGGCAGACAATAGTTCGTTTTGAGCTTTCCGAAGCCTGTACAAAATTAAAAACAGTTGTTTGAATTATCTTTTACAGCGACAGCTTTTAACCAACATATCACAACAGCGTTGATTTTTGTGAAAGGTTAATAGGGTTGAGCGCTACTTCGTCGTAATCGTCCATTTCCGTTCTATCGAGCAGAAAACATCAGTATCATCAATGATTTCACCGTGCACAAAGCAGTAATACGTTTGTACCGATGCGTTAGTTCACAAGCTACAACACAAAGCCTATTAGAGTGTGTTGTGTGAATATTTACACTCATTGTTCTCAAAACAAAAGAAGTGCTCCTAGAGAACTCGCCTTTTCTATCTTCATCCGTAGGACGAAGAAAATCCAATGGCGTTTCAATGCGTTTGGACGGAATTTAAACTCGTAGGACGAATTTGGAATCAAAAAGCAGTGTTAGATTTTTAACAATATCTCAACAATGTGTGGCTCTTTAACAAATTCAACGGTACTTATCTTCTTCTTCTTCTTCGCATTTCAAGCTTATTGCATATCGCATATTAGCTTATTGCGTGCTCTCAACTTAGTCTTCTAGATGCACCTCCACAGTTGTTAATTGAGAGCTTTCGATGCCTGTACCATTTTTGCATTGATATGATTGTGTGGCAAGTCCAATCATACTTCTATGCCCAGGGAAGTCGAGAAATTTTCCAACCCAAAAAATTCCTAAACCGAACCGGGAATCGAACCCAGCCACCTCCAGCATGGTCTTGCTTTGTAGCTGCGCCTTTACCGACTGAGCTAAGGGAGGCCCCACGGTACTTATGGAAAGGGGAATAAATTTAGGAGTTATCTTTGATAGAAACGTTTTATATATTGTTAAAACCCGTTCAAGAAAGAGAGGTAAAGCGTGGGTTGTGCTTAGTAGGCCGGAAATTAGATCAAAAACCCTACAGAGAAAAATGTACTACGAGATGAAAATATAAAACCTTCGTTCTTACTTCTCAGACATATAGGGTGGGTGAGCCAATAGTGGAGGGGCTAAGACAATGTATTTATTTAAAAAAATAAACGACATGCAAATAACTTTTTATGTCAATCTATAGCTTTCAGTCTCTATTTTGCTAGCTAAATATTACATTGTGATTAAATTATTTAAATCACCAATAATTAATTAATCGATTAATTGGAACACTGCTCCAGTAGTTGTGGTAGTTGCTAACTTTGGTTCCTATAATAGTGGAACGCATTAGTTTCTATCGTTTTCCACTATTATAGGAACACTGCCGCAACTGTAGGTGCAAAGGAGTTAAAATTTTAAGTAAATTTATTGAAATTTCAGGTTTCATGTATGAAAATATACGTTATTTTAGAAGAACTACTGAAGAAACATAAATTTATCTGGTTTTTCAACATTATTCTCATAATCGCCATACCACAACTATATGTACACCACTATTACTGGTACACCTACCCTAACTTTTTGCAGGCTTAGGGCACGATAAATTGTAAATTGGATGGTTATTTTATTTCAGAACATGATTCCGTGTCTCTTGAAGATGTTTGGTGGGGCACAAGCTCGAGGTTCAAAAGTTCGCGTCTTGCCCCAATCCTATGTAGCATTCACATGTGTCTGAAAAGCGTTTATTTACTCTAAGGAAACACGAATGGAGTGGTGTCATAAACACCGTCAAAATGTTAGTCATATTGCAAATCACTATTTTCACGAATATTGCATTATTCGTCAAGTTCGGCATTATCTGAATAAAAAAATTGTAATAGTCATATTTCGTCATGCAGCAGCAAAAGTTCGTTTTGAACACGCTTTAGAAAAATCATTCTAGCTACGAATAAACTGTAAATTCATCAAGGTTCTATAAGAGAAAGTTGTAAGCCTTAAATTAGGAATCGCCATTTTGAGATATTTGAATTTTCGAACTAAAGTCAAACTGTTGTTTTGCTCCAACTTACTCTATAAGCTCGCAAGGCAGATTTTTTTCTATCTTAAACACTTGCCAGACTGAGGATTTATAATATGTTATAAAGGCATCGATATTTATTATAACATTGTTATAAGGGCTCTAGCCTGAACAAGGCATTACACTTGAAATCACTGGCTTTCCAAAGGTATCTGGGAATATAACATAATAAACAATGTTTGAACATAGAAGGCTTGTTCAATCTAAACATTTGAATATGTCATTGTCAATATACGGAAAATAACATCCTACCTCCGTCAACGATTAACGAAAGGGTTTCCACATCTGTTCGAATGCCTAGCACAAACAAAACAATCCTGGCAAAGTAGAGCAGTGTAATATGCATCCGTGTGCAACATATAATTTACTTATTTTGTTCAAACACATTCATATGCTGGTTCTCTGATTGAAATCACGGAATGACATTCTTGTTTTCAATCAATTCAAATACACGTTTTAAATTTAAGAATTCTTAAAAGAAATGGAACTGTGATTTGTAAATTTTAACAGAAAGATAATTTTTAATATTACTTATTTTGTCTATCCCGTCTTGTAGATGAAAGTAATAGAAAGAAAAAGCTATAAAATTATTAAAACTGAAAAGAACTGATTAGATCATTATTAACTAAATTTTTAAAAAGGAAAATGTGTAGGAAACTTTAAAAAAAATCGAAAATACTGTAAGTGATTTTGGCTGCCAAAGATAATTTTGTTTAAAAATGGAACGTCACACTATATCCCTTTCGTTTGAATTTAGATAAATACTGCACACAGAGCCAGTTAGACAAAACAACCAGATACAGAAAGAGAGAAAATGCATCAATCAAACAGACAAACACAACAAACAAAAAACAACTGAACACAGAATGTGCCATTTAAATAGATATTATACAAACAAACAAACAAAAAAAATACCTTGTGAACCGCATATCTAAACGTTTATTTTTCTACAAATCCGTGGTACTGAATTTGAATCATTGCCTCAGATCAAGGTACAATTGGGAACATATTCGTAAATCGATCGAATTCGTTACAAACGCTGTGCCAAAAGAAGATTGGCCTTCTCTGGGGCAATTTTTCAAATTCTTTTGCGCGTTCAAGCAATCCATCTAAATGTCAGATAAGTTAAACCTCACCTACAATAAATAAGTAATGAATAACGTGTATACAAACATACAATAGGTCCACTACAAAAAAAAACTCTATTGTCGCTAAATGTTCTACTATGGAAGAGAATCAGACATCATCAAAATTATTGAAAAATATCTTTCAAACATATCTCGGCTCAACTTTTACATTTTTTACAACAAAAAAAGAAATCATATTTTAATAAAAATAATAAAATTTAAATAAAACTCAGTATTATAACTTTTAAACTAATGTTTTACATTTAAAAGGATTTAAAATAAATCATACAAATTTAAATATAAAGTGTCATTTAATTTAATAAATAAAACTAAGCAAAATACGAATTTATAAATGTAAAAAATAAATAAGAGGAGGAAAATGATTATTTAAAGACACAACAATTCATATGCTGATAGTTTGTAGTTCTGTAAGACTCTGTTAATTTTAAAAGTTGCATAGATAATAACACAGAAAAAAAGATACGAATCATTACAAAGAAAAGCAAAACCCGCGGTATTCATGAACCGCCATCACATCTGTACACTAGTTAAATATTATTTTCATACAATTCGAGAAAAATCATTTCGACATAACAGCAGCAGCTGCCGATCCAATTGTATTTTTCCAATTATCATTTGGCAAATACATGCGTATCCAGCTGAGATGCACAACACCACAAAATGAAGATAACACACAGATACAGCCATATTGCGTGATTCTCATTATGTAACCAGTGTAAATGCGTTTCATGTGTCAAAAGAAAAGAAAGAGATTCGTACAGATTAATATAGTAATAAGAGTGAGATGAATTGAAGGTTTAATTGTAACGGAGCAATCTAATTGTTAAGATCCTTGTATCATTATCTAAGCGAATAATTTGGAACACAGCACATGTACACACATCATACTAAGATGAATGATTATTAGGATTGACACTTACCTTGGTTGAATACAAGGAGTATTGCCACCCACTTGATTTAAGTTTAAACTTAATTTTCTAAACGGGTTATCAAACTACAAAACGACAGTTGCCAAGCAACTAATATCGTACTAATTCTTTATTGTATGATAAATCACATACCTACATGCACCTATGGCGGTATGAATAATTTTCAAATTTCATTGTGAGAATTGGATGATATTTGCGTATTTCTTTCCCAATCAGCGTTAAGCCTCAAAATTTGAACAACAAAACTATTCATCAAATCCCAGTGAAGAAGAAACAATGTGAACCTACCCAGGAATACAAAATCACACATAAAAGCAGACATATACGACAATGCCAACAACAGCGTCACAAAACAAAGCTGCAAAATTTAGACAAATTATCAGTTCAAATGCAACCGAGCTGCCTTTCAGACAGTACAAGAATACAGAGAAATAATAGAAAAAATATTTTAAAAGTAAATCAAACATTTAAACATGTCATAGATATTAACAGCTCTTTGTCTGATTTAGGTAATGAAATTTCCATTAATATTTAACAATAAACGAAAATAGAATTGTAACAAAAGATGACGATATACCTCAGGTTTTAGAATTCATAAAACAAAATTTTAATAACAAAAGCATTTACTATAAGAC